TCCATCCGTTCCGAAGCAAAATCAATTTGGAAAGAAGATCATGATTTACGTTTGGTGGAACTTCGAAGGAATCTTGCATTTTGAACTTGTGCCGAATGGTGGCGCCATCAACGCTGAACTTTACTGCGAGCAACTTGATCGAGTCTACGATGCACTGGTTGAAAAGTACTCAAGTCTTGTTCGTCGAAAACGCGCTTTGTTTCAATAAGACAATGCAAAGCCGCATACCGCCAGAAACGCTAGCAAAAAGTTGGAAGAATTGGACGGTGTTGAAGTTCTGCCGCATCCAGCCTATAGTCCAGACGTTGCTCCATCTGACTACGATCTCTTCCGATCAATGCAGCACTTTATGAAAGGTCGCCGATTTGAGTCCTTAGATGAAGTTGAAGAAGCATGTCACGAATTTTTCGATTCAAAGCCGAAGGAGTGATACTTTGACCAAATCCGAAAGCTTGCAGATCGTTGACAGAAGGTCGTGGGCAATGATGGTCTTTATTTTGAAGAATAGTTGTTGTTTTTTTTGAATAAATTCATGCATAAAAAATCATTATTTTAACGCGGCGCACGAACTTTTTCCTCAACCTAATAGTCAATTCCAGCCAATTCCAGACCAATTTCAATTCCACTAATTCCAATTCATAGCAATTCCGCGAATTCCAAGGCAAGAGTTTGAATTGAAATTGATTATAATTGGAATTGGTGCATCCATAGAGCCACCTGACCCTTTCCGTTTAGTAACTAGAGTCTACGGATTATGGTTACCTTACACATTATCATGCTTTACTAGCGGTTGATACTTAGGTTAGATTGTTTTCGTGTTACGACAAAACATTCCTGATTTGACCAGTTTCGTTGCCTACACCAGAGCCCTTCTTAGCCGTCAAGATGACGTTGCCCATCCAACACTGCGGGGAAGTGAGGGGTTGGATTTTGTTGGACATGTTTTTTTTAATTTTTATAATTCATTTATCTTTATTCTTTTCATAAAAGGAGTTACAATCCGACGAAGCGAAACAAAATCACAATCAAGGAGCAAATATCACAAACCAGGAAGAATAATATCAAAACACAACCTACTTCTTCGATCAATCAAGAGCAAGAACAAGAAGAGGATACCTCTACACAAACCAAAACACGACTAGAGCAAAGAATATGCAATATGAATCGACAAAAATACCATATATGTAGCAACAATATACAATCGCAAAAGAGAAATAAAATGGCTACTACTAAACTACAAGTTCAACAAACAACAAGACCCAATATTATCATTAAGCGACGATAATATTTTCAAAACTACAAATCAAATCATTTTTTTTATGGATTGTTCACATCCCAGGAGGTAAAGACTTCGTCAATACTAAAATCCATGTTATCGTCCCACGGACTGAAAATATCATCTAAATTGATGTCAAGATAATCAAGATACGCAAAAGGTCTGTAAGCATTTTCGAAAAAAGTACGAGAAAACCATTCACTAAATTCTTGTTCATCATCAGCCTTACCTGAATTTAAGTTGATATTACTTGGAAGAACGTTATTATCGATATTATTTGATTCGATATTGAAGCCAAAACTTTGATTATTACTATTATCATTGCAAGTATTATCGACTATATAAGCATGTCGAATTCGATCAAAATTGTCGTGCATTGTTGTTGTGAAGTTCTTGGTTGTTGTACTTTGATTATTGTTGTTATTGTTTTTCATTTGATCGATTTCCATAGGTTCAACATTATTTTCATCATCATCGATGATGATGTATTGATCATCAGGAACCGGTTGACCTGATTCACGTGGATGGTAAGACTGGACACAAATAAAGAATTTCAATTAGTAAAACTAGTTTCATTCATTGAAATGCAACAAACTTTTGCCAACAATCGTGCAAAGTTGTCGACGCGATTTAAAAAATTAGAAAAATCGGTTTGATTTACTGAAGTGCGACAAACTTTTGTAAACAAATGTGCCGCGCAGTCCACGTGATTCAAAAATCGCACGCCGAAAGCGAGACACAAAGGTCCACAAAAAGTTGGTATAGTTCACGAAACCAAAATATGAAAAAATAAAAGAAAACAGTACTTACTTCCGTACGTATTTGAAGTGTCACATTAATGGTCATATTTCTCGTGCGTTTAATATATCTCTAAAAAAAAGCAACTTTTTATAGAAATACAATAGATTACAATCTCTACTCACTTTGAAACGTTCTTCTTCTTCAAAAGAAGAAATGCTTTTTGAAGTCCACATTTTTAGATCGTTTTTCGGTAAAGGCATAGCAAACAAGACGAAACGAAAATAACTGATATATTATATTAATCTAGAACAAAAAAAGTCAAGATTAGTATTTGAAATGGATATTGAAAAATCTAGAATGTTTCTTCAATTTGAAAAAAGCGTTTTTAAACGTTTTTCGAACTTTTTATCTCAAAATGATGCCTTAAAAAATTTTTTAAATATATAGTTTTGTAGAACTCGACAAGCTCTATCAAACCATGTAAAAATATCCAAAAAAAAAAATATATATATATATTATTCCATTTTTGAATAACTGGTACCTTAATTTTTCACCCTAAAAAAGTATAAAATTTCTTAAGTTTGACACTAAAAAGTTTGTATAACCCTCACTATTTAGTATCAATCAAACCCCATTTTTGACGAGCTTTCATGTGATATAAAATTCAATATGCTTCCTACTTGAAATCATAGCAATATCCCCCGTGCAAAATATTTTTTCCAACCTAGTACTGTTCAAAAAAATCAATAATAACTCAATAACTCACAATCTGATCAGGCTATATCAACAGCATTCATAACAGTACTCAAACTATCAAAGCGCACACAAAAGCTTACATTGCCAACTATCTCACCACTCACTCAACAATATTTCAAAACCAATCTTAGTAATGTATTTTGTATTTGGTTTGAAAATTTGCTTTCAAATTTTTGGATCATTCATACAAATACTTGCCACTTGACAAGAATCGTAAGTGAGTTCGAAAAACTTTACTTTTGTGGTAACTCTACACACCCACACCCTCATTTCTTGCTGAAACCTAAAATGAAGCTATGGTCAACTAAAAATAAAAATTATCAAATATTATCAAAACGTGTTGAATTAGATATGCCTCCAAAAATTATTGATAAAGTTAATTTTTCTTTTAAAATTGATGAATCAATTATAAGTCAAGATGAAGCGCAAGCCATGTATAATCAAATGCATCAAATTACGAAAGATTTTCGTACTCAAGCAATGACATTATGTGTTCAATCAGCTGCTCGAGAAAATGAAATCTTATCAAATGAAATTAAAGGTATTATTGAAAGATTTCCACAAGAGAATGATGATGGATTTGATGCTGAACCTGTCTATGCAGCTTTTAAACAATATTATGAATTACGAGAGAAAAGAATGAAATTAGAAGTTGAACAATCGCTTTATTTTCTATTCGAACAGCGAGTCGAGGGCGAAATCAACAATCCAGAAGAAGAAATAATCGCTCCGACTCTAATACGTTCTCCGGGCGAGGATTTCTTGCTCCAGCAATAATTAATGAAGCAAATATTCA